CTGTGCCTGGGGAGGACCTAACTGTCTATTTCTTTCCCATAGGGTTGGAAGGGCCAAGAAAAGACTCAAGGAAACAGTAAGAGGGAAATGTCTGGACTAGCATGAGGGCATATCTATAATCCCAGAGCAAAGGGAAAATTGAGACTGTAGGATCACTGTGACTTCTAAGCCAGCCTGGTTACATAGTTAGAACCTGTCACAAGCAAGCAATCAAGTAGTCAAACAAAATCCTCAGTACTGACCAGTGCCGATGCCTCTGTACCACCCCTCCCTGCCCCACCTTCCACACGACTAAAGAGAAATATGTAGCATTTCTCTAAAGGAAGCCAGAATGGGAATGTTCTAGACTGGGCAGTGAGATGGGTCCAGGACACTCAGTCTGACGTGAGGTAGAGCAGGGAGCCAAAGAATCTTTTCTCTAAGTGTGGACTCTTGTCCTCCTCTAGGCCTCTCCTGGAGCTACAGCTCTTTAGGGAGTCCAGAGCAAGTCAGATGGGTGATAGGAGTTCTTTCCCGCCAGTAGGGCCAAAGATGAAGGGGAAATCAGACTTATGTGTAGCCTCCAGGTCTTTCCTTCCCAATGTTTACTAAGTCAAAATAGAGATTTTTCCAGGTGGAGAATTCTAACCCAGGGCTGTCTTAGCCCGTGTATACCATCAACTCAGTGGCAGTAAGACACAACAATGTGTCTACCTATTGTCCTCTGACCTAATACGATGCTTGAAAGGATGTAGCATCATTTGTGAGGGTTTCTTGGCAAATGCAACTGTCTAGTTCATGAGAAAGCAGGGAAACTGGAACAGAGATATTTCACTAGAGAGTCAATCAAAGTGACTCAAAGGTGTCAAGGTAGGTAGACGGAAGACGGGAGGTAGAAGAGCTGCCCTGGACCCAAGGAGGCTCAGGGGACTGGATGAGTGAGTGTAGCATGAAATCCACAACTATAGTCCGTAGCAGAGAGGGAACACTGTCGGAAAATCCAGCAAAATTCCAGGAACACTTGCAGTTGACTAATCACATTGTTTGTGCCAGTGTTAATTTACTGTTTTGAAAACTGTACCATGCGTATGTGATGTGTGTTCGCACTAAGGGAAACTGGCTGAAGGGTACGAATGCATTCTCTGGATTCTATTTTTTTTTTGCAATTTTGAAATTTATTATTATTGTTGTTAAAGAGACAGAGTCTTATGTAACCCAGGCTGGCCTCAAATTTGCCGTGTGGCTGACCTTGAGGATGAATCCCTTGCCTCCACCTCCCAAGAATTAGAACTATAGGTGTGCACCACCAAGCCTGACCAATTTTTCTTTTTTTTGAAAACTTCTAAGAATCTAAAATTATTTTACAATAAAAAATTAAAAATAGCCAGGCATGGTGACAAGGGATTATAATACCAGTACTGGCATGTAAGCAGTAGAGGCAGAAATGACAAATTTGGGGTCAACCTGGGCTACATAGCGGGTGTCTCGAATAAAGCAAAAACAAAAGAAAAACAATGAACAAACAACAAAAAAAGCCAACTCAAAAACAAAATTAAAAAATAAAAGCAAAGCCAAAAACAAAATAAAAACTGCTCTGAGGGCTGAAGGGTGGGGGCAGGTAGTGAAAGTCTCTAGGAGTGCTGAGAAGCCTGGTCTCCCTGCTGGCCTGGCCCCAGCACTCTAACTCGAACAAAGCTGCTTTCTCCAGAAACCTCCAGACTGGCTCCACCCACCTCTTATAATTATCTCCCCAAGTTTCCCCTGCCTCCTCCACAGCTGGCTACCAGCACTCAGTCTGCTAACACGGTGGAGAGGGTTTACATAGTGTTTATGTAGTGCCCTTCCAAAGTCAAGGCTACTTCCAAAGTAGGATCTCTGAGGGACAGATAAGGTAAGGACTGAGATGACGTCACACTGGACGAGGGGGGCGCTAGATCCAATAAGCACACCATAAGAGACAGATCAAGATGATCAGGTGCGCAGTAAGGCTGTGGGGAGAGAAAAGGAGAGATTGGAGTTTTGTTGCCACAAACCCAGGGACTCCAGGAGAAACCAGAAGCTGGTGGAGGACTGACTGGAAGGATCCTTCCCTAGATCATAGAGGTAGTGTGGCCCCTCCATCTTCTCTGGGGTTACTTGGCTTCCAGACCTGGGGGAATAGGCTTGCATTGTTGAAGCTGCTGAATCTGTGAGGACTTGGGACAGGCACTCATGAGAGGCAGGCCGTCCTTAGTTCTCTCAGGCCTGCACCTTGAAAGGCCTTTTCTTTTTCTTACAGGCCCAAGACTTCCAAGGGCAGAGACAGTCTCTTCCCCTATCTCTCCAACTATACTGTGGGCTCCTGGGGCAAGGCTCATGCCTCTCTCCACAGCCCCGACTCCTCCTCCCTGAAGATGCAACCCCTTAGCTCCACCCTGGCCTCAGCACACAATGAGGCAGTGTGGGGGTTGCCTGGCCCAGTCCTTTCACCTGTTTAGATTGGCATGGGTCTCCCCACCTCAGGGAAGTGTAGGAGACTCACTAACCACATAGTGCTGACTGCCCAGGCCCCTCCTTTCTTCCCTGTTCCCGGGGCAGACTGGAGGGAGGGGCAGATATGGTGCTCACACAGAACATGCTTCTAGGAGGTAGGGGTCCGCCAGGTCTCAGGAGGCAGAGGTGCCTATCTGATACCCATTCTAACTCATTAACCTTCGATGCCTCAGAGAATGCATGTCCTGAAAATGTTACCGTCAGCACCATGGGGATGGGAGAGTGCTGTCACCTTCCTATTCCCCAGCTGGCTGGGCCTTAGTCAGCTCCTTGGCTGTGGGGTCTGTGTCTGCTGACCTTGCTGCATTTTACCTGGGGGACCAGAGTCGGCGCGGGGGTGGGGGGAGGCCTAGCAAGGGTCTTCCCTTAGACTGTGTGTGTTTATCTGACATTTATTCCCTTGTATCTTTATGTTTGTGTTCCCCTTGTATAAGATGGAGGAGCAGGGTGGGAGGGGAGGAAGTGCAGGGTAAAGATGAAGATCAGAGGAGGAGGAACTGGAGGAGTAGAGGGCAGAGGAAGAAGAGGAGGGGGAGAGGTAGGGTGGTGGCAGAGGAGCACTGGGAGGGAGGCTCCTTGGGGTCCCACCAACTGACAGGGGACACAGGGCTTTTCTTGGTCTAGGGTGTTAGGTCACTAACGAAGCTGGGGTTGGACTCCGCACCCAGCTCTTCTTCATGGATCTCCCTAAATTCTGCCTTTTTCTCTAGGAAGGAGACCCCCTACCTCTTACCCAACTCGACAGCAACAGTTTCTAATAGAAGTATCTGTTCCTCAGTCCAAATCCCCTTTGCCTCATGCTGGGGAAATTGAAGGGCTGGGTCAGGCTTGTGGAGAATATTCTCTGGAAGGAGATTAGAAGTGTCTGTCAAGGGTGGGTGGAGCCGGGTGGGGCCGCAGGTTACTCATATCCTCGCTAGTCCTTAGAGCGGCAGATTTGGGGGAGCCCTCAGCCTCAATAGCCTGCCTTAGCATTGTCTCCTGAGCTCTTAAGCCCTGTGGTGGGGAGGGTGTTGACTTCTGCTTTGGTGGCGGGCAGGGTCAGGGGGGGTTGGCTGTCTGAGGCGCTGCTTCCCTTCTGGGAGTAGATGATATTGACACGAGTGTAAGAGCCTCAGCAGGGGCTGTTGGGGCCTGTCTGGGAAGATAGGACATGCCAGGCAGTCCCAGACACGACCACATTCCTCCCAACATGCCTGCTGGGGTCCATGGGACTGAGGGGCTGGCAGGAGGGTGTGGGGGCAGGAAGTGGGTGTTCTGGGAGTTTCTCAACCATGTTCGATACGGGATAACTGAAGCTGGATATACAAACCTCTGAAGCAGAATTAGCTGATGTCTGCTGGCCCTCAGGAACTCAGGAGTCAGGGAACCCTCATGTCCACTTTGGCCATGCCCTTGGCTCAGTCCGGCCTCATTTCCAGGTGCCTGAATTCCTCCTTGATACATGTCTTGGGTGAAGTCCATGGGGGAGCAAGTGCGGGCGACTGAGTCGATTGTCTGTCTCTCACCTCAGCTATCCTGACATCTGAGGGGGATATCTGGGGCTGGAAACAAAAAAGTTTGGCTTCTCCCAGGCATGTATGTAGCCTCACATACTTTGAGACCAAAATACGCTCTAACCCTCTGGCCAGACTCCATGCCACACAAAGGTGACAAAAGTCTTCAACATCATTGTCCCGTTAGACTTCTAGAGCTGTCTGTAGTAGAAGCAGTGGGTGGGTGTCTTTTGCTCCCATTTTTCAGAAGAGCAAACTGAGGCTCCGAGAAGCATCATGTCCGGGCTCTTTCTCAATGTCTTTGGCTGTGTCTGTGAGACCTTTGGTGACTGAGTAGCTAATGTCACAGGTCTTTGTGCAGGTGTGCAGTGGATATTAGGGTCTGTACCCAGGACTGAGGGGAACTGTCTCGAGTCTGAGCCACCTGGATGGCTGAGGCTGTGAGAACCTCTTAAGGATGACTAGTCCTTAGCAGGTAGTGCTGAGGGTGGCCATGCTGGAGTACCTGCAGCTAAATCCCCACTTCCGGCTATGGTGGGCTTCCTCCACATGTAGTAAAGGACCCCCACCCCATTTACTGGGAACTGACGGGTCAGCAGGTTTACCGTGTGGTAAGGCCCTACTCTGTCATCCTACCTGAGCCCAGAGTGTGGGTTCCTGAGTGCTGTGACTCCCAGGGCCTCATGGGAAAGTATAGCCTGCAGGCCCACCCCTCCCCTGATGAATCATGCCTGGCGGGACGAGAAAGCCCAAAACACTTCAAACAATGAGTTTCCAGTAAAATATGACAGACATGATGAGGCGGAGGAGAGGAGGGATCTGATGGGGAGTTGGCGCTAGCCCGTGAGTGATGAAAGCCAAGGGGAATGGAAAACGCCAGGCCCGCCCCCTACTCATGACTATAAAGCCCTGTCATCCATTTCTAACGTACCTGAGCAGCATTCTCCTCTCTCCGCTCTCTGACTTGCTCGCTCTCTCACCTTCCTCGACAACATGACCACCTGCAGCCGCCAGTTCACCTCCTCCAGCTCCATGAAAGGCTCCTGTGGCATCGGTGGTGGCTCTAGCCGCATCTCCTCCGTCCTGACTGGAGGATCCTGCCGGGCTCCCAGCACCTATGGGGGCCTGACAGTCAGCTCCTCTCGCTTCTCCTCTGGGGGAGCCTGTGGCATGGGAAGCAGCTATGGTGGGGGCTTCAGCAGCAGCAGCAGCTTTGGGGGAGGCCTTGGTAGTGGTTTTGGTGGTGGTTTCGGTGGTGGCTTTGGTGGTGGCTTCGGTGGTGGCCTTGGTGGTGGTTTTGGCGGTGGTGATGGTCTCTTGGTGGGCAGTGAGAAAGTGACCATGCAGAACCTCAATGACCGTCTGGCCAGCTACCTGGACAAGGTGCGTGCCCTGGAGGAGGCCAACACTGACCTGGAGGTGAAGATCCGTGACTGGTACCAGAGGCAGCGGCCTGCTGAGATCAAAGACTACAGCCCCTTCTTCAAGACCATCGAGGACCTGAAGAGCAAGGTGGGTCAACTGGGCAGCAGGACCTGCAATTCAAGTTTCCTCCAGTGCTTCAGATCATCCTTAGACTCCTAGACAGGACAGCTTCCAGTCCCAGATCCCTCTCTGAGGTCCTGCACATCCCCGTTAGTGTGGTCAGTGAGAAGATGGTGTCCCTTCCTGCCTTTTCCAACGTTTTTCTAAGCTCCCATTTTTAGCTCCCATGAGACCAATGGTTCCAGCCCTTAACATTTTGCAGAGGAAGAAGTTGGACTGTTGAGAGGGCTGTGACTTGCTAAAGATCACACAGAGGAGGGGCAGAGCAGAGACTAGAGCGCCAGGGGCCCGCCTTCTACTATAGAAGGCGGTTATCTCCAGCAGAAGGGAGGAGGGAGGCTGTAACGGGACCCACCAAGCTAGACACCCAAACCCCTCATTAGCTCGTTAGTCTGGGCCGAGGTTGCCGCCACCCATGAACATTGGCTGGTCTTTCTCTATAGCCAGGCAGACATAGAAAACCCACAGCCACAGCTAATCGTGACCCATATATTTACCCTGGAACCAGAGACATCCTGGTGGGGTTGTGCTTCAGAACCCTTCTTCCCCCTCCTGTTAAACTTGGCTCTAGTGTCTCACATAAATTCCGGAAATTAGACAAGTCTCTGGCAGGAACCCCAGCCAGGCTTATGGATCCATCTGTCTTCTTTTCTTCTCTGGTTTCCTTTTTTTCTAATCCCCTGGGCAAGTTGGGTTTTGTCTCTTGGGAAAGTCCCACCTGAGGTTCATGCCCCTTGGGCTTAGAAAGGAATGTGTGTGTGTGTGTGTGTGTGTTTGTGTGTGTGTGTGCAGACGGCCGATAGGGCTGCTCTGTATGGAGAGGAGGCTCTGGAAGATGGAGGGTGTTTAGTGAGCCCTAGGGGGGCTTTGGAACGCCAAGACCCATCTTAGGTTTTACAGGCGAGTGATAGCAATAAGACCTGAACTTTCCAGCTTTCGAGTCTGTTGACCAGGAGTTGAAGTTCTGGGTTGAAAATGACTATGCGGGGTTGTCTCTCAGGCTGCTGTGGTGAAGAAAAACTCATGGGATGAGAAGAACAGAACTCAAGCAAGGGCAAGAGAGAAGGGCCAGCGCAGGCTGCAGTGACATCTGCCTAGATCTGTTTAACAATTGACCCATGGCCTTTCCATTCTACAGATCCTTGCAGCCACTGTGGACAATGCCAATGTCCTCCTGCAGATCGACAATGCCCGGCTGGCCGCTGATGACTTCCGCACCAAGTGAGTTTTTAGTGTGGTGGCTCAGAGCTTCCAGTGTCTGTAGGGTGGGGCATTTTGGAGCCGTGCTTTCTACCAGCATTGAATTGTGCCAGGAGAACCCCTTGGGGTGCTTGTAAAAATACAAGACTGTTGGGCTCCACCCTGGGAGTTCAGTTATTTGTAACATAGGTGATTCTGATCCACAGCCAGGTGTAAGAGCTATCATTTTAGGGAGAGGTGCTCCACACCCCCTTCACCTGCCCTTAAAATGCAGTAGGCTGTCATATTTGGAGGCCTTGGGTCTTATTGACTGCAGCTGGAAGTGCGTCTTTCAGATGAATGCCTCCTGGTGATTTTTATTCCCTGGACCCTAGGAATGTTCAGACCTAAGCAATCAATGGGCACTGTGTCTAATACTGGCTCTCCACAACAGCCCTGGGTGCCAACCCTGGGAATAATACCCACAGGAAGAGAACAAAGCTTCCAGTGTGGCTGGGATGGATAGCTCATTCCTTTTTCTCTCGGATCATTCTAGGTATGAGACAGAGCTGAACCTGCGCATGAGTGTGGAGGCCGATATCAATGGCCTGCGCCGAGTGCTGGATGAGCTGACCCTGGCCAGAGCTGACCTGGAGATGCAGATTGAGAGTCTCAAGGAAGAGCTGGCCTACCTGAAGAAGAACCACGAGGAGGTGAGAGCCAAACAGAAAAGCCAGCCTAAAAGGGTGAATGGAGAGAAGCAATAGAATGGCAGGTGGGGAAGCAGTGTTCAGGACAGGACCACCTCTCGTTAGAAAGCCCTGTCAGCTGTTAGGCTTCTGACTATGGGACCTTTTCTGCCTCTGCAGGAGATGGCCTCCATGAGAGGCCAGGTGGGTGGAGACGTCAACGTGGAGATGGACGCGGCACCCGGTGTGGACCTGAGCCGCATCCTGAATGAGATGCGTGACCAGTATGAGAAGATGGCGGAGAAGAACCGAAAGGATGCCGAGGAATGGTTCTTCACCAAGGTGGGTGCCAGTTGGAGAGGAAGCTGTATAGACCATATGACTTCCAGGATTTCCTGGTGTGAACAGTGTTCTCTTTTTCACAGACAGAGGAACTGAACCGTGAGGTGGCCACCAACAGCGAGCTGGTGCAGAGCGGCAAGAGCGAGATCTCTGAGCTCCGACGCACCATGCAGAACCTGGAGATCGAGCTGCAGTCCCAGCTCAGCATGGTAGGAATGCAGCTGCGTGCATTGGTTGGCCTTGGACTTCCTGAAGGGGCATGGCCATTCTCAATAATCCACCACCCCATTTCTCTCTTTCACAGAAAGCATCCCTGGAGAATAACCTGGAGGAGACCAAAGGCCGTTACTGCATGCAACTGTCCCAGATTCAGGAAATGATCAGCAGCGTGGAGGAGCAGCTGGCTCAGCTGCGCTGCGAGATGGAGCAGCAGAATCAGGAGTACAAGATCCTGCTGGATGTGAAGACACGCCTGGAGCAGGAGATCGCCACTTACCGTCGCCTGCTGGAGGGCGAGGATGCCCAGTGAGTCTCTGGTCACCCTCTAGTCCATGCCCCTTCTCTTCACAAATGTCCCCCGTATGTCTCACGCCGTGCCCTATTCTGTCTTTGCAGCCTCTCCTCATCCACCCAGTTCTCCTCATCCTCCCAGTTCTCCTCTGGTTCTCAGTCATCCAGAGACGGTAAGACTTTCCTTCCCGTCATGCCTGAGCTCTCAAATACCTTCAGATCTTCCAGCAGATCTAGGACCTAGATTAAGACCTTCTTGGGGGTTGAGCTAAGTGTTCTTACTCAGTATCTCCTATGAGTCTCTTCAGATAGAAACAGCAATTTCGCGGAGAGGACTGGTGACCTTCAACTTGTTCCTCGAATGGGTGTCTGGGTAGACGGCAGTAATGGAAATCAGCACCACGGACAGCACCCTACATAGCCCATCTAATGCATTTGGGTTTAGTTGGACCTTCTAATGCGTTTGGATTTAGTTGAACAGCACCAGTTGAGTGCTCCAGTCTGAGGACACAGACTGTTCATGACAACAAGGTGCCCTAGCAGCAGTGTGTGAGGTGGCAATCAGGACAGAGGGCATCAGGAGACAGTTCACTCCTCAGCTTCTTGGCTTCAGAACACTCCTGTCCACCTCCACTAACGCCTTCTCTCTCGCATTCCCCAGTGACCTCCACCAACCGCCAGATCCGCACCAAGGTCATGGATGTGCACGATGGCAAGGTGGTCTCCAGCCATGAGCAGGTCCTGCGTACCAAGAACTAAGGCTGCTAAGCACAACTCAGGCGTAGGAGGCTCCTGTGTGGACGCAGATACTGCTGAAAGAGCCCCTCTACTGTCCCCACGCACTTCGCCCTTTACTTGACCTGCGTCCCTGCTGGCAATCAATAAAGTTTCTTTCTCTGAGTTGCACAATCACTGTCTCCCTGGTCATTGTCAGAAGTAGGGGTGGGAGAAATGTGGGAAGCGTTGCCTTGGAGCTCAGGCGAGCACCTGGCTCTGGCCTCTGGGACTGGGAGAAAGGACCCTGGGGGCGGGCTTGGCTCAGGTCCCAGGCTGGCTCTCACCATCAGAAGATATAGATGGCTGTGTGTGCCAGGTCATGAGATCTCTTAGGGCAGAGGCGTATTTCTCCATTCATTCAATTGTCCATGTATTTACCAGATGTGGAATGCCTTTAGGTGCCAGACAGTACACTAGGTGAAGGGTCTTTACAATAAAATGATAAGCTTATTATTGTCACCGTCATCACTGTGTGGTCACGGTATGTGTGTGAGTGCATGTGCGCAGTGTAGTATGTGTTTGAGGAGGCTGGAGGAAAACTTTGTGGAGTTGACTCTCTCCTTCCATGGTGGGTTCGGGGATTGAACTTATGTAGTACTTCTCCCTTGCTGAGCCATCTTACTGGCCTTAGGTTAAGGATTCTTAATGATTTTGTGATCCTTTAAAATAACTCTGTATTGTTATCTACAACTTTTCTTTGTATATCCTGTCTCCAAATAAGTAGACATTTTTGTGTGCAATACTAAGGCGTTCGCTAGTCCCCTAAAACTCTGAATCCAAGATAAGGGCTCATGCTTTGTTGGTGGTCTTAGCTCCCTGATCTGAGACTGTCTAGAATTGAGTCTATTCTTATTCAGTTTAGAGAGGTGGTTCTCAGCCTTCCTAATGCTGCGACTCTTTCAGGTAGTTCCTTATGGTGAGGTGACCCCCAACCATAAAGTTATTCTCATAATTATAATTTTGCTACTGTTATGAATTGCAGATATCTGATATGTGACCCTTGTGGAAGGGTCAGTTAACCCCCGTAGAAGTCTTGACTCACAGGTTGAGAACTACTGATTTAGAGGAAATTGATGACCCTCTCCCAGCCTCAGTTTCTATGTCTGTAAAATGGGGATGATGATAGTCCTGTCTCCTGGTTTTGGGGATGCACAACCGGTAAAAACATTGTTCAGCATAGTGCCTAGAGTGCGTGGGCTCAAGGCACAGCTGTGTTAGCATGCTGGGTACCATTCATGACAAGGGCATTTCCAGAGGCTTCCAGCTGGTTTCTAACCTTAGCCCTGCTCTGGATTAGTGACTTTGGGGAGCCTGGCTCTCAGTTTCCTCATTGTACAATAAGAAGGATGGACCCTGTATCTTGTGGTTGACATACAAATCTAAGGAGTAAGTACACTTTACGCTCCAGCTGACTTGAGTCTGATGGGTCACACATGCAACCCGGCACAGGAAGGTGCATCCAAAAGGACCACTGTGAGTTTAAGACCAGACACGGCTCCGTGGTGAAGAGCCTCCCCTTGGTAGATGAGCGACTTTTGCTTTCTTTTATGGCTGACTGAGGAGTAGGAGAGGGAGGAGCATCATCTGGGTACGTGACAGAGATACCAGGGGTGGGGAGGGCTCACTGCTCCCGGCTAGGGAAAGAGTCACCAGCTCTATATCCATTTCAATAGCTTGTTCATCTGGCTGGGTAGAGTTGAACGTGGGGGTGGGGATGACAAAAGACATCATGGACGAGGGAGGAAAAACCTTAGACTTGATAATCCTATGCTTGAATCCTGGGTTCCCACCAGCCTGGAGAATCGGGTCAGGATACTGAATCTGCATTCCTTTTCCGTAAGATGGAGAACAAAAACCTTCACTACACAGCGCTACACAGTGCTAATGAATTAAATGTTTTTATGGAGCCAATGAGCTGAGCATGGTGTATAGTGTTCTGCCCGTGGTAGTTCAAGAGGAGGCATTATTAAGAAAAGGAATGAAGGGTTGTTGGCGTCTGTTGTCCTTACCTACAAATACCAGGCAAGTCACAATTGGCCTGTGAATGAAGCTTCTGATAACTTTTGGTCTGAGTCTTGGATCCCTGCAGGGCTGAGCTGGGGTGTGTCTCATCTGAAAGTGTGCATCCTGGAGCTTCAGGATTGGTACCTTAGGGAGGAGGAAAGGCGAGAGAGCTGTTTCAGAGATGGGGAAAGGACGGTTCTCAGGCCCTTGGATGGTGGGAACCACGTGGAAAGGGGCTTCATGAGATCTAAATGGATGTTGAGCCCCAAGATATCAGGACAGAGTTTCCTGTCAAGTGTGACACAGAATAGAGGAGGTGGTTCACCCTTGAAGGGTCATGTGGGCTGGGTAGAGAACAACACACACACACACACACACACACACACACACGCATTCACTAGTGGAGATGGAAGCCAGAATGCTATGGATGGCTTGTGGGTCTCTAGTCATTACCCTCCCTGTGATATTTGAGTTTATCCTCCGAAGGAACCCGCTTTACAGGAATATGGATGTATGAGTTCCTTAGGTTCTACCGTGCGGTGTGAAACCCTTTGTCCTTGTTTGGATTGCTGCCACTGATGTTCGGAAGGAACACAGGGAAAAGGCAGACTTGCTTGAGGCCACTTGGCTATAAGCAATGCAAGCTCAGATTGGGAACTGGGGGATGGTTAAGCAATGGGCAGGCATCACAGCAGTTCCGGGGTCTCACACGGACACCCTCCTCTCCCGATTTCCACCACCACATTCAGTAGAGCTGACAAATGATTTCTACTGGTGACTAGCTCTTCTTCACAGGTCTAAAAGGCTCCAGCACCCACTGGAGACCTGGGCTCTGTTCCCACCAGTGAAGCCGACCAGAAAAGTGACTCGATAGCACCGCCTAGTGGAAGCAAGAAAGTTGCTTCTCAGAGTCCTGGGGCTAGCCGGATATGGGCTGTAGTGCCACGCCCCTCTAACGTAATTTGGGAGGAGCTACTTTCTCCGCCTACTCTGAACACAGAATGGAGCTTTGCTAGGCAGATGGAGATGATCTCTCCTATCCTCTCTTCTAAGGGAGATCACCCGGCTCCAAGCCATATAGTTTGAACCTGGCTACATCCAGCCTTCAGGTTCCTGAGGGAGGGACTATGTGTCCTCAGCAACACCTACTTGGCACAGGCTCTTGATCTGAAGTGGTGACCCGGTAGACCGAAAGGATGACCTGATGATCGAGACCCAAGCCATCCATATGGTCCAAGAGGAAGGGCAGAAGTATGCCCATTGTCACTGGGAGTCAGGATAGCATTTTAGAGTGTGTTGGGCCCATCCCAGTAGCTCATCTAAGCCTCACATGAAGTTGTAATCAGTTTCCTCTTCCAAAATCCTTTCCTTGACGAAGCTTATGCCCTTTAGCCACGCTGAGTTGCGATCACTTTACCACACTAGGGCATTTGGTCCCTCTCTCAGGGTGACTTTCATCTCTTCTTCTTGTTTGGTCTCTGTTTACCCCTCACTCAGGCGTCTCTCAGATAACTGCCCCTGATCTCTCTGACCATGTGGCAGGCTTTACTGTATGCTTCCCAGTTGGCAACCAAGAACATTTGCTTCACCTGTGAGTTTTATATTTACTGGGGGAGTCTGCTTTGTCCCATAGCTGCTTCAGGAGATAAAGCTTGCTTATCACTGGTATGTGTGTGTGTGTGTGTGTGTGTGTGTGTGTGTGTGTATGTGTGTGATGTATGTATTCACATGTATGTACACATGTGTGTGAGGGTGCACCTTCATGTGTATGGATGTGTAGGCCAGAGGCTAAGGTTGGGCTTCTTCCTCAGTGGCTCCCCACTCACTTTTAAAAACAATGTCTCTCTCAAGTCTAGCCCGTTTGGCTAGGAATCCCCTTGCCTCTGCATCCCCAACACTGGAGACACAGATGTACACTGCCAAATGTAGCTTTTTTTTTCCTGGGATTTGAACTCAGGTTCTTGTGCTTGTGGGGCAGGTGCCTTACTGCTGGGGGCTCCTTCATCATTTTATCCTCAGCTCTTAGTGCAATGTGTAGAACCTGGTAGGTACTCAAGGAAAGATACACCCAAAACTTACCACGGGGAAGCTGATTTAGGGGTGAGGGGAAGCAATGTTCCTTAAATAGATGGAAGACTCCAGGTTTAGACTCCGGGCACCTCAGTCTGGCGGGGTCTGAGTAGGTGGGGTGATGGCAGGTGACTATTCAGCAAAAACGAATCTTTGTTGACAGATACATGCAGGCACCTCCAGCTGTGTATCATCCCAAGTGTCCACATGCATAGGTGGTTCATGGAGGGGTGGGCCTGTGAGCCAGGACAGCAGCCGTGAGTCACGCTTATGTTCCTTCAGCCAGCATCCAGCCTCATGATGACTCAGGACCTTCTGGCCCCACCTGAGCTCAGGGACACACGGTGGTGGGGAGCACGTGGGACCAGAAGGTCTGGGTGGCTGGATACAGGCAAGCAGGAGGTGTCTGTAGCCAGAGCCAGGCTGGCCTTGTCTCCTCTTAAGTCCCCATACCCTTAGGAGGGACCCGCTTCCCTGAGACCTGAAGGTAGAATCCATTTAGGGTTCCTTTCTCTGTCTCTTTGGTCTTCAAAGTCCTTTTATTCAGCTCCATCTGTGCTCCGAGGGCAGGAACTGTATTTGGGAGGCTGGTGTGGGGGCCCAATTGACTAAAGGGATGAACAAATTGTAAGCAAGAGGGTTGAATGCAGGTTATCCAGATGGTCCAGGAGCAAGGAAAAAAAAAACATACTTAGAGCCATTCAACTGTCAGGACAATGTCCCAAGATGTGTTTGAATTTTCCAATATTAGCTGCCGTCTGGACATGAACTATAGAGACAGACTTTTTTTTTTTTAATGGCCACCTGGAGTAGGGTACCCTGAGCTACATGAGATCTAGTCCTTGTTCATTGCCAGGAGGAGTGGGAAGTAGGATCCAGAAGGCAGACCCTGAGCCCCAAGAGGGTAAAAGAATGAGTCATGTTGCACAGCCAGGAAGAGATCTCTCACTCGGTCCGGGATGGTTAACTTCCTCATCCTTGGGACAACCTTTCCCGTGCCAGGCAGACGGTGCA